ATATTCCCAGCCCAAGAGCAGACTTGTTGATCTTGGCCTAAATACTACAATGGTAGAAAAAAAAAAACCACTACTACAGGTATATAAACATGCATCTCACAATAACTCTGCAATACATAAAATATTTATGTTTTCACTCATCAGTTAACATTACATTCATTTTAAAGTATAACCATCTTGGTCCCTCAGGCAGTTTAATAGCTTCTTTCCTCAGAGACTAGGGGGAGGCCTCCAGAGATCACAGTGTCTCCATAATCGTCTCCAGATCTCCATGTAGACATCTCTGGGATCACAATAGGGCTTGAGCTGACAACATTTCAGAAGGGACACGTTGCTGCCTTTGTGACTGGACATCATTGACCCACCTGAGTGAGAGTCACTGTCCCCACCTGCAGGAGTGCTTCTGACCTGAGGGGCTGGCTGTGAGCCTGAAGCCATGGCCTGGGAAATCCCTCAAAGGTAAGTTTCATTTGTGGACTTCTTTGAGAAGTGAATCAGACTTATTATTTACGGACACACTTCCGTGAGAGAATAATCACACCATGTTTATAGAAAAGGGGAACATTATTCTTCCAGTGCCACAGAAGGAACTTATGGTGCTTATGGGTCATGACCCATGTCAATGTCCCCTTCTCCATTTTTCCCTCCTTGCCTTAGGGACGCTGGAAACTGTGATGGCTGTTGGAGACCAAGGGAGCTCTTCTCACAGCACATCCGCCATGCTCCGGGAACACTTCTATGATTTCAAACCATTCTTCATCGACCCTTGTTCCTCACTGGCAGACAGGTGAGCTCCTACTTCTGATACACATTTGACTCAGAAATGTAATTTATGCAAAATCAGTGTCCTAACTGTACTTAGGATAAATTATTTAACAAGAGATGTTTAAATATTTCTTAAATAGTGAGGTGAGCCTATGGTATAAATGGTTTTCATAGACTTCAGTGATTCACAAGACAAATAATGCTTCTTTGCCAAAAAATGAACAAAAATGAAGAGAGATGATGCTTTTAATGTTTACTGACATCTTTTTCACTATATGTTTGTATCTCACTTACAGCTTAAAAAAAAACTACACAAATATAAACCCAGGACAGTGAATTGATTCTTTTTTAATTTGCAAAAGGTGCCTGAATGAATTAGTATAATCAGAACTGCTTGTTCTTGGAAGGCGGCTTTAACGCTTGGATCTCCAGTCTTCTACCTATTACTTATGGAATATTGCAGCATAGCATATACTCTTGGGTCTGCTTTTTATGTATGGATGTGTGAGTGTATTATACATAACACATCCACACCATTTCTACGTAAATTGTTCACCAAGTGCTACCCAACACAGGTGTGTCAGAAGAAACCCTGTGTGATAAAATTGATGAAACAGTATCTTTATGGGATGGTGGACAAACTTAGGATGAAAGAGGCATAGAAAAAAGGGTGGTAGAAAATAGTAATTTGGGGTTGATATCCTCCCAAAGATTGCAAAATAGATAAATAAATTTTAAATAATGTTAACACACCACAGGAGATTTACATAAAATATTTAAGTCCTACCACTCTGAGAATTCACTGTATGAGGACAGTGACAAGTGAAGCAGTGAGGTGAATAACATGGACTTCTCCCAAACTCAAACATGGATTTCAAGGAAGCAGTTTTGACAAAGGATCCCTGTGTGGAGCTTCAGCAGCTGCAGTCACACGCGTGGAGGAGAGTGAGGTGGAAGCAGTGGAGAGCATGGAAACTCACAGAGGTGTAATGTGGGGGGAGGGAAACTGGAGGAACCTTCAGGACTTCAAGGTCACCTGAGACTGTGTGTCACAGTCCTCCTGGGTCAGAATGTTTCAAAGCATTATTCCATCCTAGTAATGACATGATAGTTGGCCTCATCAGGATGAGCTTGACCACCCCCCCAATTTACTCTCCTGGTTATTATCTGTTCTCACATTAGTGCCCAAATGTCAGTCCCATTGCTGTATTTGTTCACTGTAGATCATGGAGGACTCACGACTGCTAGGTGCAAATGTGCGGTCTGACCTCTGTCCCTTCAGAGAACCTTAAACGCTCTGGCTGCTGTATCTGCCTCCCTCAGAATGCCCTGTGCCAGTGAGCGTGTGCACCCGTTATCTCACCCCAGCCCTGTGCGCGTGGATGAGCCGGGAGGGGCGGGAGTCAGACTCATCCCCAACTTCATCCAGAGCTGGTGCTGTCAACTGCATCACGGTCAGTAAGCGGAGACGTGCTGGTGGTAATGACTACAGCGAGGAAAGCTCTCCAGTTCCATTCAGAGCACGCTGACTCATTGAGGCATTTGATACCAATACTGATAACGATCATTTCATGTTGGCGGGTGGGTAGTTTTAGCTCCAGATAAATTACTATAGAACATGTAAATCTATTCACTATAAGGCCAAACACAGAGTTTGAAAGAAAGGAGAAACTGAGTAATTATAAATTGTTTAATTCAGTTTGACTT